ATTGAACTAGATTTGAATATCAATAATTGTCGAAATGAAAAAAATTGTTTAAAAAACAACTTTAAAAAAAAAGCATACGTAAAGAAGAAGAAGAATTTTATGGATTCCGGTGATACCCGCCGTTTATGATTATAAATATTGAAAGGAATCTCTGCAAATATGACTTGTTAGTTTAACAAGTTAACAAACAAGTTAACAAAAAAATGATATCCATTTCCTTCTTTAACCAACATTAGCTGGTGGCAAACATGACCGCACAATCCTACGCCGATGCTCTCCGCGCGAGAATTGACGATGACCGGACGCATAACTACACGTATTACGAACCCGAGTTCCAACTCGTTGAAGACAGCGGTACGTCTCATATCTCGATCGTCGACCAGTACGGCAATGCAGCTGCGATTACGAGTACCATCAATACCTTGTAAGATGGGATACTTATTGACACTTCTCTCTTTCTCTCTTCTACATTCATAAAATTTAGTATTGATGATATGAAATAAAGTAATAAATAGAACAAATCAATCATCAGGATAAAGTTTTATATTGTGTATACTTTACTTATATCTTTATGGCAAAAGAAAATACAGATAAACATAGATTACTTGAGATTGTTTCTATAAATTTCGTAGGTTTCCTCCTTTGGGTTCTCTTGACCTGTTTTACTTTGTTTTGTTTTTAATCTTAGTTTTTTTAAATTCAATGTATATTTAGTTTGTATAGTTGATGTCGTCATGGTTACTTCGCACAGGAATGTAAGAGAAAGACCTCAACATGTCGATTCTAGTAGTACAGTATACTGCCCTCAACCTTAATGAAAATGTTTATTTTTTTAACTACTTGAGAAAAGTGAAACGAAACGTTTAGTTTTTAACAAAACAATGCAAAAACAAACAAAAGCAATATAAAAACAAACAAAAACAAGATAAAAGGGAGAGGGGCCAAATACAGTCTTTATTATTAATAGAACTATAGAAATATGCCTCTTTGAAACCATATTCTTCCGATCTCACCCCTATCTCATTCCTCATCTTTTTCCCCTCTTTCTCTTTCTCTTTCTCCCCTTCTCCGCTTTATCTTTATCATAGCTTTGGGTCGAAAGTCCGCGGGGAAAAGACAGGGATCATTTACAACAACGAGATGGACGACTTCTCCCAGCCCGGAGTCAACAACTTCTACGGCGTTCCTCCCTCGCCGTCGAATTTCATCGAGCCCGGAAAACGTCCGATGTCGTCGATGACGCCCGTCATCGTTGTCGACAGGGAAGGTGACGTCAGACTGGTGACAGGCGCATCGGGTGGAACTAGAATTACCTTGTCTGCAAGCTTAGTACGTTTTTTGATTAAAATCTCTTTTGCAGTTCAGTGAAGTTTTTATATGATAAGGAGCTCGATGTGATAGGTTGTAAGACCCCCTCTCTCTCTCTCTTTCTCTCTGTTTCTCTTAAACAAAGACGAAGAAGAAGAAGAAGAAGAAGAAGAAGAAGAAGAAGAAGAAGAAGAAGAAGAAGAAGAAGAAGAAGAAGAAGAAGAAGAAAAAGAAGAAGAAGAAGGACTAATACCGGCACAGGTAGAAATAGGAAATATGTTTTGTTTTGTATTGTATTGTTTTTTATCATGTTCAGGTCAGCATTGAAAACTTGTGGTTCGGTTCAAGTATCCGAGATGCTATAGAACGGAAACGGATATATCACCAGTTAATACCCGAGGATCCGTTCTACGAGGATGGCTTCCCTCAGGTGAGTCTAAAATCGTGTTTTGAAAAGCCCCCCCCCCCCCCCCACACACACACACCCACTTCCACCAAAACTTGCTTGTCATATAATTATATTTAATAAGTTGATTAGTAGCAAATTAACATGTAGTTTAGGTTTCTATCAACATTAACGTTTCGAAGGTAAGCTTTTTGTTCACTCTCACGGGCTATCCCAAACATTGTGATAGCAAACTTCTTGTATTTTTGTTCTAAGATGCTGTGAAACCCTCCCCCTTTAAAAGAATCTGAAACAAAATGAGAGTTACAACTTGAGTTATTTTACTGGCCAAGTAGATACAACGTGCATGGGCCTATAAAGTGAAAATTTAAATCATTAAAAGGATTTTCTTATAACCTATTACAATGATAACAAAGTTCTCGAACAAACTAGAAATAAATCGAAACATGAAGATTATTATACAAAATTTAAAGTACTGTGGGGATCGTTTGAAGAAAAGAAAAAAAATCAATATGAACTACAAAAAGCTGTTATTAACAAATAAGAATAAAAATCGAAAACGTTTTACCATCGTAAAACTTTTCAGGACATCGTAGATGGTTTAGCAAGAAAAGGCCACCGTCCTCTGGTTTCCAGCCGCTCCGCGGTCGTCCAGGGGATCGAACGTCTGGACGATGGGTTGCTACGGGCTCACAGTGATAGCAGGAAGGGTGGAATACCTTCGGGTTTCTAATGGCCACGCCCATACATGACCACGCCCTTGACATGCTCATACATCCCGAGCCGGACTGCGACTGAAAAAGTGACCCGGTACTCGCAAGGTTCGATCGGTCAACTGCGACTTCATTCCCCTTCCCGTCAACCAAAAAGGGACCGACCCTCAAGCCAATTCTGTCGTTTATCAATCTGCTTATTTTGAATCCACCCAAAGTTCATGTGTTTATACTTTTGATTGTTTGTTTCTGATTATCTCAATTCTCTTTAGTCATATCAAGTACATAGTTTGAGACTGTATTAATTTTTTTCATCTTTCATAATTAATACATGTTTTGTAAGAGTAACGCACAACGCGATGTCCCGTTTGAAACTACATGATACAATTAATTATGTTACTGTTTATACTATCTACTTGTATACTTGTTCATGTCATTCCCTACACTCCACGCACTATATAGAGAATCGGCTGTTTTAAGAAACGACACGATATTGTACAAAAAACAAGTCCCGTTGATGTAATATGTTGATTGCATTCTAATTTATTGTGCAATATTTATGATGATTTTCGTAATGATGATAATGATAGGAATGATGATGGTGATACTGATGATTATTACAATAATAATAACAATAGTAATAATAATGATAATAAAAATAAAAATCATAATAATAATATAAATGAAAAAAAAACAATAATAAAAATTATTATGACAATGACAATGTAAAAAGGGCGTATAATTACATAAACTATCATTAAATATGATTATAAGCTACCTAGATAGTTATCAATAAAGGGACTATTTTAAATAGCCAGTGCACATCATAGATAACGTTAACAACTAAATTATTCATACCCTCACCAAGTCTTTGAAGTATGTGGAATATTGATTTGTCCTGATTTATGTTTCCTGAGAATGTGACATAGCAAAGCTTATTCTAACAGTCTTCAACAAAGGCACTAACTCAACCAGTACAACTTTCATTCTTGAGTTTCGAGAAAGAAAAAAAAGAAAGAAAAAAAAAGGAAATCAAATTTACAAGGGGAATTACTAATTAAGTATAGATTTAGTTAAAGGTAAAGACCAGTTATGGTCATGCAATTGCATTGTGAAAGAAACGTTGTGGAATCGATCAGAAAAGGTTGATCATCTAGCATCTTGCATCTGCAAGGTTCTGGAATCATCAAAATGATAAGAAATTTGGCCCATTTTCCGTAAAGTTACAAGCACTATACACAGAAAGATGTATATGGGACTACCCTATATCTCTCACAGACCATGAGAGAAACAAATTTACCAAATATATGAATTAGTAGGCGGTTTCCCGGCAAATTTGTTATTATCATGTATTAGTCAAAACATATTCTTTCACATGATTGGTAATGAGAGCTTCCATTTCATTTTTTGAAATTGGGGCGTTTCCAATACTGGTCTTTACCTTTAATGCGGCAGTTTTAAATGCAATCTTGATAATCTAGGTATTTTCATGCAATGGAATAAAATATTTTATTTTTAATGGAAACTGGTTGCGAACATATTTGTTTCTTGGTGTCAGCTCATTGAATTGCCTAGGCGTAAGGGCATGATTTCGTCGGGGGCCGGGGGAGGGGGAAGAGGGGGAAGACTGGGAAGACTGACGCCCGCGAACATGAATTGACGATTGCCCAAAATATTGGTTCAGGTAAAATTCTCAGTGGTTGTAGTTCAAAATTCAATGGGATGGCAAATAAAAAGGACTTGTTTCATGGAAAAGCTCAAGAAAACGAAGAGAGAGAGAGAGAGAGAGAGAGAGAGAGAGAGAGAGAGAGAGAGAGGTTTAACACAGATAAATGATAACATACAGAAGACGCCCCCTGCCCTATCTCTGACTACACCAACGTGGGACTACTCACATCCAAAATAATTGTGCTTCTTGTAAACGTTTCTCTCTAAAACCTCTCATCTCTCCTCTTTCTTTTATCTTCTCTCTTTCATTCCTTTCTCGATCCTAAAATATTTTACATCATAATTTCCGAATTTATTTCTTGCTCCAGAATCTCCACCTCTCTGTCTCTGTCTCTCTCTTCTTCTAGCCAAGATTCTTACTCAACACTAACCCCTCGAACTGTCGTTACGACAGGAGAGAGTCTCGATAGTTCAGACGGTTCTAGGACACCTACCCCCTGGACAGTGGCGGATTCAGGGGGGGGGGGGTACTTGTCCTGGAGGATGGTTATCCTAGGGGGTAATTATGTGGGGGTAGTTGTTCGGGGGTAGTTGGGTGGTAGTAGTAGTTACCACAGGTGGTAGATGGTAGGAGATCCTAGAGGGCGGTTGTCCTAGGGGTAGTTGTCTGGGGGTACTTGTCCTAGAGGGTTGTTGTCCTAGGGGGTAGTTGTCTGGGGAGTAGTTGTCTGGGGGGGGGGGGGTAGTTGTCTGGGGGTAGTTTTCCAAGGGGGTAGTCGTCCTAGAGGGTGGTTATCCTAGGGGTATTTATCTGGGGTGGTTGTTTAGGGGGTAGGTGTCCGGATACGGTTCCAGACTCATGTTTTTTTCTTCTCAAATTCATTCAATGATTAATTCATTCATTCGTTCGTGCATTCGTTCATTCATTTATTCTTGTATTCATTCTTTCATTCATTCATTCATTCATTTCTTCATTCATTCTTTCATTCATTCATTCATTTATATATTCATTCATTGTTTAATTTATTTATCTATTCATTTATTCATTCATTCATTCATTCAATCATTGGTTTATTCATTTAATTATTCATTCATTATACAATGTAAGCTATATATCTACATCGTTAGACCAATACAAAAGGTAAACAAATACTGGATGTGAAATGCTTCCAATTTTATTTCAGTTTCACACTTGGCTATTTACATTTTAAAATTTATACAGCGTTGGTGCAAATTTAAATAACCTCAAAATACACTCGAGCGATTGAGCAAAGAACATAAAGTACTCAAGCTAAACGAGGTACTTACAAATGCAATTCTCATGAATATTTTTCCTCTGGAACATAACACACACTTGTAGAATAGCCAGATTGTGAAAGCAAATATCATACTTTTCATAATAACTTGTTATGTAGCTAGATGATACAGCTGAACAAATTCAGCTAATATTGAGATCAAGGTGAAATTACATCTACAGAAAATATGGGTTGATTGTTTATGTACATATTATAATCATACAGTGCAGTTGATTGGACTTCCAATACGCAAACTGCTCAAATTCTTAGCAGACAAGGCATGCATGGGCCAACATTATAATTTTTACAACCAAAACAAATGAGCCTTGACACATATTTTACCCCATAAATGCCATTCTGTAGTTTCTGACTAAAACGATTTATAAGTTAGGCTTTTGCCTATTATTACATGTATAGCATTCTTAAAAAGGAATGTGAAAGAATCAATAAAATAAAAAAATTAATTTTTTTTAAAGTTTATGAGAAATTACATCTGGCAGAGTCAGATGAGAAGGTAAACCTGTAATTTGGGCTGGTACATTGAAACTAATTATATGCACTAATCTACTAGAGTATAAACTAGTACCGTCTCTTGTCATCTAAACCTATATACCTGAACCTGAGTAAAACCACAAATTATTGGTCATGGGCATTTTCAAAATTGGTAGAAAACGGCAAGATTTCAAAAGGAATGATAGTCTTTTCATTTGTCCAGGTTTTTTAAGAATATGCTCTATTTAACTAATATCAGTAGGCATTACAGATGGAAAACCCTAGGAATGAGCATAGTAGCAGCCATATAACATTTCATAGAAAAATACCTAAAGGCATAATAAGCAGTACATGTTTCTGTTAAATTCAAAAGCAACATAGAGTGTCAAATACAAGGTATACTTTACAGTAATACTTTCTGTACATATCTTGTACAGGTATGGAATCTGTACAATGCAAACACGGAACATGTTTTTAACTGCTAATAATACTGGAGTGTATGTATTTTCCAGCAAAGATATTTACAACAGCAACACATTATTTGTTATAAAGAGCCCTGATAAGGCTGACATTACAAGAAACCTGTTAAAACAAGGTAACTTTTGGTGGTCCCAATGTCTCTTTTATTATTGAGTTTCCACCGTTGTAAAGTTAACACGTAATAAGGCTATTATGACTGGGAATGGATACGAATTAAGTGTTTAAAGTATACTTTCAAGGGAAATCCACACTTTAAAATACGGCCATACGGTAGAGCGTCAAGTAGTCTACCCATAGGTCACCTTTAAGATAATTGAGAGAGTATTTAAACTTGCAACCTCTCTTTACAGTAGTAACATTTGAAAAATCATATTTTGAATATTATGACCTGGAACTACTGACTTACATGTATAATACAATTTAATGTGGGTGGTTGGTACATGTGCTTGAATACAGGTCCCCTGCTATTCGCAAGAAATTTGCAATTGATGTTTGTATTCTATTCACTGAATAAATAAGGACGATTGTCCACATGCTGTGATTCGGCTCAAAATCTTTTATTCCAATCCCTAATATATACAGAATCCATCATGCAGAAAGAACAAAAGGTGCACACACTGCATCCGCTTTTTATTTGCATTACCAATTATCCTTTGAACTTTAACCTTTGAGGATTGAATACTCTTATTCCACTAGGACATAATCAAAGGAAAAAACAAGCATCAATATCCTTAACGCTGCAACATGTCAAAATGTTCTCTGTTATAATCTATCAAAACTGCCAATAAAATAATGTTCAAAAAAATATTAACATGTTTAGTGTAAATTTACTTTGTGATACATGTTTTTCTTATTTGAAAAAAATTAGAAGCAATAAAAGAAATTAGCTCTTTACTTAGTTTTAAAGTTAAAATAAGATACTGTGATGTACCTTTTAATACCCAACCAATCAGCTAAAAGAATCCAAAATATTGATATAATATTGGATGGCTTTGAGTGTGATACAAGAATATATTGCTCGAGCTATGACAATATTGAACGAGTCGGAGACAAGTCCAATATTGTCATAGCGAGAGCAATATAATTTTGTATCACACGAAAACAAAGCCGTATAATATTATCATTATTATCTATATCAGGCTGACTAGCAAAATAACAAAATTTGACTTACCTCAGTAAATATGGCTTTTTTGTGCGTGATTATATCAATAGTTTACGTTCCCAGATGACTGAGCAATACGAAAACAATATTGGTCAGTCATCCGGGTAGGCGAGTACTGCGCTAAAGATATTGAATACACTGATTTATTGAAAACCACTTGGAAGCCTTTTATAGATAATAATGAAATTATTGTAGTATCTACCATGTACATGTACACATGTACATTTAACATCTGAACATTTTACAATTTACTGAATAGTCTCTAGTACCTTTTAGTTTAAATCACAATTTCCAAAATGTAATAAATATTTAAGAGATGTATTTTAATTGGGCGAAAATAAAGAATACTGTTGTACAGCTGTACATATTCACAATAGAAACTAAAGTATGTACATGCATACATGCCAACATTTGAAAATCAGAAATCTGTACAAATTATGCTATTTTCAAAAAAAAAAGAGGAACAATCCTAAATCTCCTATTCAATACTACAGACAAATTTGTACAGGAAGAGGAACACCTGCATTAAAATGATAATTATCTTCTCCCCAAAAGAGGAATGTTCCTCTTTAATCTGAAAAGTTGGCATGTATGTACATGTACCGGTATAGATTGATGTACAACATGTAAGCAAAAATGTAAGAGCACACAAAGGGAAAACAAAGCCATTAAAACCCCAAATTTTAGACATCACTTTCAAAACAATCAATACCCCTTAAAACAAGATCCAAACACGCATCTACATATTCATCATGGTGTTTAGCAAGATGCTCTAAATGATCAGTGTCCTCCCAAAATGCCTCAGTGATGTCACAGCCTTGCTTCCTCCGCTTTGTGATGATGTCCTGAATGTCCTTGTACCATGTGATGCAATCCGCTTTAGAGTAGATGAAGAGCTGTGGGCAGGGCATCTTGTCATTGGCGATGGCTGGTATGTAGGAATTCATGAGGCTGGTGGCTTCCCAGAAGTTTGGAAAGACAGTATGCTTGAACATGAGCCACAGCCAAGACGGTGCAATCTTGAGGTAGGACATATACCAGGGCTGAGATTGCCTGTCAGACGAGAAGAGACAATAGGCCTGCAATTCTGACCAGAAGGTGGGCCGGCAGGGAGCGCTGTCCCAGATCACGCCACAAATCTTCAGAGCCGCAAACACTCCGGGATCACGCCCATTCAGCAGCTCTGAAATCGCGCGGTAGATGTATCCCCCACCGTTGCTGAACAAGTGGAAGAAGATTGGATTTTCCTCCAGGCCCAAATCGAAGAACGCTTCCAGGACCTTAACAGCAATGAAATTCACTCCTCCAAGCTTTCCCTCAAACAAGTATTCCCCAGGAAGAACGTACCGGATGGTGACAAAGCCCTCTGACTGGTAAATTGCGCTGTATTTGGCAAGGTCTTTATCATCGGCACCACACCATCCTAGGAGGAAGATGACTGGTTCTTTGTCTGGACTACTTCTTTCAATCGATTCCACATCTCCTGTAGCGGCTGCAGCTTCAGCTCCTGCACTTCGTCTCTGAGCCCTTGTACAGGTTGAAAACTTAGTAGGGAAAGTAACATGATATTCAAGTTCGTCAGCCATTGTTTGAATGCACTGCAGAAGTTCAGACTCTGGCAAGATGTAAATGCGGTAGACTAGATCTTGTTGTATCTGTCTAATGTTAGGACGTTAGTGGTTTATCCAGCATTCCTTAATTGAACTAAATGACTCCAATGGCTAACATTAGCTTCAAGCAATATTACTTATTAGCCCACCAAAATGCAGTCCACTATAATATCATCCAAAAGTAAAACTGAGACTGTAGCACCAAGTAACAGGATCTAACATTAAGCCGTTTGTTATTCAGTGAACATTTAAATTCAACAGAGTCAAATGCCAAAGGCAAAGCATCATACTTCATACGGACCGAGTCCGCCCAACTGACTCAGTCATACTCATCATAGACATACATGTAGCTGTTCATCGTAATCTCAAAATAACTTCTCTTCCTCTTGAAATTACTGAGTTATATTTAGCGACAGTAGGCCTACTTGATGCCGAATCCAGCCATCTAGAGATAAGATTAAGACTTTCTTGGATTCTTTTCCTGCTAAATACTCTGAAGAAGAGTTTTGACTGGAGGTGGAGTTTTGACTTACAGGCAGTCTTGTTCGGGCCGGGTCAGCGCGCAGCGAAGGACGTGCAAGTTCGGCGGAGTCTCCCTCCTATGATGTAGCTCTAGCTAGCTCCTCGGCCGCGGCCTCCGATCGACGTAGTGGTAGTGCAGTGTGAGCGATGAGCTGCCATTCGCGTATTCGTGCAGTGTAACAACACTCAACTGTCAATTAGACTATATTTGTTCAGCAGTCACAGCCATAGTATTTTCACGTCCAAAGCATACTTTTATTGTCGGTCAAGCTCTTTAATTGTTCACGTAATTCACAGTCGATAATTTATACAAGCAGGCCTCAGAAATAACTGATAACTGATAACGTTAATTTAACTTACAAACTGTGTAGCAAAATGGATTTTCTTCATCACTGGGCAACAAGGTACGCTATTTCTGATAGTACGGTGTCTCCAATAAGACAAATATATCTTTTTTTTAGATGAATTAGACATTTATGTGGGGGTTATTATTTTTAGTGATTCACTGAGTGCACTTATTGCATTACAACAACAGAAGGACGAATCTTTTATTCTGGAAATTCTCACCATGACTACTCACTTAAAGAATAAAGGAGTTGATATATATGTAGAGTGGATACCTGGACATTGTGGAATAAAAGGGAACGAGATGGCGGATTTCCACGCAAAGGCCGCATTAGTAAAGAAAATAGAAGTCAATAATAATCTAAATATGTCAGAAATGAAAAGCTTAATTACTACAAGTTCCAAACTCCTTTGGCAAGAAAGGTGGAACAAAACCAACTCGTATTTGAAAACATATCAAAAAGATGTTAATAAACCATATATATGTTCATTAGAGAGACAACATTCAACAATAATTCATCGACTCCGCTTTGGAGTCCTTGGACTTAACCAGGATCTCCTCAGATTGGGAATTCATGCTATTGGTTTCTGTAATAGATGCCCCAGTGAAATAGAGACTGTAAAACATTTTTTAGTACATTGCCCTAACTATATTATAGTAAGGGCTATGTTTTTAACAGAAATTAACGAATCCCAACCTGAAAAAATTATGGAATACTTAAAAAAGAGTGAGTCCAGTATACAAAAAGCTATTGTACGGTTCTTTCTCAGAACGAAACGGTTCCCTATCAGGAAGTAATACCTCCCTTGATGAACAGTAAAATATAATACAATATTATAAATATGCTAAATTACACTCAGTACATTAAAAATATAATAACATAATGTAATAAGAAAATAAAATAAGAACAGTAAAACATAATACAATATTATAAATATGTTAAATTACACTCAGTGCATTAAAAATATAATAACATAATGTAATAAGAAAATAAAATAAGAATAGTAAAACATTATACAATATTATAATATGCTAAATTACACTCAGTACATTAAAAATATAATAACAATCATAATGTAATAAGAAAATGAAATAAGAACAGTAAAACATAATACGATATTAAAAATATGTTAAATTACACTCAGTACATTAAAAATATAATAACATAATGTATTAAGAAAATAAAATAAGAAAAAGTAACAACAATGATAAAAGGTATGATAAGATTACTGAATATAGAAGCTTGTGTAGGTGCTATCTTATATACATATTTATGTATGGTGTGTATGTGATATAACAAATAATCTGCACGTACTGTTAAGAAACACTAACAAAGCCCATGAATGTTTTGCTTACGATATTATTTTACGATACTATCTTAAAAGATAGATAAATATAAAACGAAATAAATATATTTTTTTAAAATCCAAAATTGAGAGATATAACACGTGCCGTAAAGTAATTTGGCGACAATAGTCAAATCACTGACTAATCGCCAATAACTCAAAACACAACAACAACAACAATGGTTGCTTCCGGTTCCCCCCCCCCCCCCCCGAGAACTACAAAATATGATGATAATATTAATAATGATAATGATAATAATAATGATGATAATATTAATACTAATAATAATAATGATAATGATAATACATGTAGGTCTAATCATAATAATAATGGTAACAATAATAATAATAAAAACAATAATATGAAATAAATAATCGTATTTTGTAATAATAATGATCGATGGTCCGAATGCATATTGGAAAAGGGGGATTGGGGTGAGTGTAACCATGGACCCAGGAGCGTATCCAAAGGGGGGGGGGGGGGGTGGGGTGCGACACCGCCCCCCACCTTTCAGGATATTGTCGGTAAAATTGCGCTGCCGTCGGGAAAAAAGAGAAAAGGAGGAGGGAAAAAAGAGAGGGAAAGGAAAAGAAAAAAAGAAAAGGAAAGAGAGAGGAAAGAAAGAGGGAGGAGAGGAAAGAAAGGAAAAGAAAGAAAAGAAAGAAAAGAAAGAAAAGGGGGAAAAAGATCAAAAGGGAAACAAAAGATACGGGGATGAAATAGAGGAGAGAAAAGGGGAGAGGGGGAGGTAAGAGCCTGAGAGAGGAGGATTGGGATTGTTGTTGGGTGGAGTCGTCTCGTCGAGAGAGCAAGAAAGACACGAATAAATATGTTGCTGTGACAGGTGAGCTGTGTCGGTATTCGCGCTCGATCCTCGTGTACTAACGCAGAAGTTTAAAGTCGGTGAGATGCATATTATACCGGGCGGCCGACCAGTTTTTGTTCCCTATGGACTATGACTTTTTTATCCGCTGTGACGACTTCGAGAGTGACTACGACACTACAATAGTTGTATTTTCTCAAAGATTCACTTTCTTATAATATCAGCTAAAGAAATCAGAGGTTTACAGTTTCGGGGAAACTAAATTCAAACAAGGATTAAGAGTCAACAAGGGTACAACGAATCGTCTTCCTTTCTCTAATATTTTGATGAGATGCCAAAGCATCCGCGCTTCGCGCGAGAGGGGGGAAACTGACAATTAGGGCTTATTAAGGCCGAAAATGGTACAACGAATCGTCTTCTTTCTGTTTATAATTATATGAAACATCAAAACTTCTGCGCTTCGCGCGGTAGTAGGAAAACTGAAATCAGACAAGGATTAAGAGTCGAGAACGATACCAAGAATCGTCTTCCTTTCTCTAATATTTAAGTAAACGTGGAAGTTTCCGCGCTTCGCGCGAGAGGGGGAAACTAAATTCAGACAATAAGGGCTTCTTAAGAGTCGAAAACGGTACAACGAATCGTCTTCTTTTTCTAATAATTTAATGAAACGTCAAAACTTCCGCGCTTTGCGCGGGATGGGGAAACTGAATTCAGACAAGGATTAAGAGTCGAGAACTGTACAACAATTCGTCTTCTTTTCCTAATAATTTAATGAAACGTCTGAGCTTTCGCGAACTTTTTTTAGACCCCTTTTTTCACCTCGATCGATTACATGATTGTATGTCCCCCCCCTAAAAAAACACAACAACAACAACAACAACAACAACAACAACAACAACACATCAAACTCTGGCTACGTGCCTGCTACTACAATGGTTTAACAGGGGGAGAAGAGGTAGATGCTACATAGCCGCATGACACTGCTAGTGCTATATAAGATTGTAAAGTCTGTAATTTTGAACGTCTTTGGTATATACGGACAGACTGGAGATCCAGGTGGTTACTAAAACTGCATCTGTAGAACGACTTTTGTAGGCAATTTTTTTTTTTAATGAATCATTCAAAAGAGTATGGGCCTGCTGCCTGCATGACAAACATCTTGAAGTTTCGTCGCTATTCAAAAAATTAAAAGCTTTATTATCCTTTATTCAGAAGTTTCATGTACAAAATGATAGAGAGGAACATGATTGTGCTTACAGTATAAACAAAGTACATTGTCTCATACATTATAAACACAAACATATTTCAAATATATTATCATATTAAGTATCCTAACTAATATAGTACATATTCAATCAAGTATACAAATTGGGATACAATTTTTCAATTTGGGAGAAGAAAAAAGAATGGGATTTTTTAATATAGAAAATGCATTGTTTCCCTTTACAGAGCCCCCACCGGCAAGCCGCGACAGGCCAAACTTTTCAGCTCGTGAAGGCAGTATTTTCAATCAGTAGAACCACTCCTTCGTAGAACTTGCAAACCGCCAGTCCCCCGATCAAAATTACCAAAGTGGTCCGAACTGTGTAAAATTATTCAATGAGATTGTTTTTTCTGATATCAGCGCACATTTCTATATTCAGTTTGGAAGTCAGAACTCACCCATCAACTGACTTTTGGACAAATATCGATACATACGTTTTTGTTTTTTGTTTAAATGGGGGGGGGGGGGGGGACAAACAAAAGTATATTGCGAGCAGGCGAAGTGCGCGATCCCAAAACAGAGGCGCGTTTGATGTGGACAAACTGTTTGGTATTTATTCATGAATAAATTATATACTAGATCAAATTTACAAATTCGGTCATCTCGTAGTCGTTGCAACATTGTTGTGGTATAAATTTCATTACGAGATAACTTTTGGTTATGTTCAGGCCCCATGCTATGGGAATTATGACAATATTCGGATAGCGAGGTATCAGAATATCGTCATAATCATTTTGGGAATATTAATGGACCTCGCTGCCTGACACTACTCGCTGCCTGACACTACTCGCTTCCAAATTGTGCGAGCAAGCGAAGCGCGCGTGGAAAAAGGTACTATACTATCCCTGAAATGTACTTCCTCATAAAAAATACACAAAGGGATAAATGTTTGGGCAACTTGTGGTTTCTGATTTTTAATTAGTTGACGCTATTCTAGAATTGATATGTTAACATAATCAAAATTCTCCAGCGGCACCCTGGTTTAAAACGCTACTAGATGGTCAAATTTTGAGGGGCAGTTTGACCAGATTGGGAGGGGGGGTATACCTTTTATACCTTTAGAGTGTGATTTTTTTTTGTTCATTTAAAGTAAAACCAAAACTTTTACATAGCCTCTCTATCTCTTTTAAATTGTCTTTCATTTCTATCTCAATTTCTTTCTTTTTCCTCTGATGTGCATTGTGAAACACATTAACCCAAAACTAAAATAAACACCCAGACATCCACATACAAACGAATAATAAAGATAAACTTCTGGTAAAAAAAAAAGAAAATTAATTCTCACAGAATCAAACGAAACTTACACTGAATGTTCAAGATTACAAATAAGTGACATGTGCCAAACAATTTCGGAAGAAAGTGTATATTGGCTGAGTAATGAGCATAGAAAGACAAGGAAATCAAGGTAGTACTAGCCCCGACACCATGTGTGTTGTCCCATATATAGCTTTCTGTGTACAGTGCTTGTTACTTTACCAAGACTCGGCCAAATTTATTATGATTTTGATGACTCCAGAACCTTGCAGTGCACACCAATACTTCATGCTACATGATCAACTGTTTCTCTTTCCACACCTTTTCTTTCACAATGCAATCGCATTACCAGTACTAAAGTTTATCTTTAACATCACGAACAGAAT